TGAAGGGAAATTTTGCACCTCGCTCTTATGGTTTTCAAAGAAATTGTTTAAGTTTTACCCAATATCTTTAGTTTCTGACAAATGTTTGATTTATTGCTTTGTTTTGAACATTGTGGTTATTTTCTATGTTGCTTTGTTGTATTGGTTCAGAGGCAAGGGTACCAAATAAATCATTTTTTCCATCATTTCCATGCATCTTTTGAACAAAATGTTTGTAGTTCAATCTTTGGAAAACAATGTTCATGAATTCGTGAAGCAGGCCCTACTTCATGTTCATCTTTCAAATTATTCATTTGATGATGGGGGCATATTTTCTTTCTGGTTCTTTTCTTTTTTTTTTTTTTTTCCTTATCACGTATTAGGTCTGTGTATTGAATGTTTGAAGATTTAACAGTGAAACTAATGTTTTGAAGAAGACATCAAGTAATTAGAGTTCTATTGAAGATGATGTTAATGGTAGTGAAGATTGGAAGGAAGTTGGATTTGAATACATAGAAGATGTTCCAAGTCTTGAAGAATTTCAAGTCATCTTAAATCTGACACATGCAAGGTCAGCAGCCAAGTGCTTGCTTTATTATCACAGACCTTCCATATTGCAAGGGATATGATGGACATTATTATTAGAAAAGGTTTAGGGCAGGCGAAGTACCTGACCTGATTCTGTGGCTTTATATTTTCCTTTTTGTAACTTTTTTTCCTTTTGATTTATTTGTATGACAATTTTGCAGAGAGCCTCGTGGTTTTGGTTTTGTTCAGTATGTAGATCCTGCTGATGCTGCAGATGCTAAACATCAGATGGATGGCTGTGTTCTTCAAGGTCGGGAGATAACTGTGGTATTTGCTGAGGAAAACAGGAAGAAGCCATCTGATATGAGGGCAAGGGAGAGAGGAAGGTATGAAGCTTCCTCCTAATATATTTATGATTCTTTATAGACATGGATACTTGTATTTAACTGTGAAATAATGTTATGCATTTGCATATGATTTCCAACTCTTGTGTTCACACCGCCAATTTTAATATTGCATATCCAAAACGAAATTAATATTTTAGTTGTACAAACAGTGGACGGTTTCATGATCGTAGAAGATCTCCTCCACGGTATTCTCGTTCTCCTCCTCAACGCCATGCAAGGCGTTCTTTTTCACCAGCTCCACGCCATGCAAGGTCTCGGTCTCGCAGTTATGATTATGCATCCCCCCCACCAAGACAAAGGGCGTACTCCAGGTGTGATTTCAATTTATTAGCTATTTGATCTCTAGTTCTGTTTTTTTTTTTTCTAGTATAATTTCTATGATTCCCTTTGGTAACTACATTTTGAGCTTCAAGTCTTTCATTATGTCAAATGCAGATCCATATCCCCGTCTCCACGTGGCAGACGGGATAGTCGAGAGAGGTCCTACCCACGACAGCCAAGCCGTGGTAGGTCATACTCCCGATCCCCACAACTTGGTAGTGCAAGAAGTAGAAGTAGAAGTAGAAGTCAGAGTCCAGCACCACGGGGCGGAAGTCGAAGTCCAAGCCCTGTGAGAGGCCGAAGGCTGAGTAGGAGCAGGAGCAGGAGCCGAAGCATTAGCCGGAGCCGGAGTCCACGACATAGTTCAAGACACGAAGAGGAGTATAGAAGTGAACTGAATGGCGGAGGTAGGAGCCCTAGTCGGTAACAAACCATCCCGCTCATAAGTTGGGAAAGAAAAACTACAATGTACTATTGCCATATTTCGTTTGAGATTTCCCGCTAGAGACATCTTTTCGTTTGTATTGTTGGGCAGCGTTTTTTGTTGTTGTTACTTGTTAGGATTTATGCGTTATCAAATTGATTGTTGGTACGTACTTCTTTGCTTTCTTTCGTGGTGTGATGATGCTTTACAAAGTACTTCCAACCCCTTCCATCATAAATTCTTCTTTTGGGCATATTGTAACGTCCCAAACTAAGGACTAAGGAGCAGAATTCAAACTTTTTTCCGAATTCAAATTTAGTAGAATTAGACTATTGTGTTGTTATTTTGTGAGAATAGTACTTCTTGGCAGCCGACTTTGCGATTGTATTATAGTCCTCACTTTTAGCACTAAGTGAGTCAAACCAATTGAGATTGTGTATTCCTCACTCTGAACACTCACTCCTTGATTGGTGTATGCTCAAGTTTCTGCATAGTCGGGCAACGTATGTAGATATAATTACCAACAAAAAGTAATACAACGGGTTAAGTAACATATAACCTTTCGAGTAGAGAGAGTACGGGAAGAAAGTTTTAAAAAATGGTTTTTCCGAGTAGAAAGTGTGAGAAGAATGTTTTAATTAAACACGTACAAACCTTAAATGAATGTGTTGTAAATTCATCCTTCATGGGCAGAAGGTTTATAAAAAAAAAAAAAAAAAAAAAAAAAAAAAAAAAAAAAAAAAAAAAAAA